GAGCTCGGTCGGATGAACCTTTTCTCTAACAGGTAATCTAACTGCTTCCTCAGTTCGTCGAGTTCGGGCTGTGTCAGTCTGAGCTGTCACTGTACGGTTGGCTGTGCCCCCGGTTCTAGTGTATGCGATGGTCGTGTGCTCGCTGAGGTGGCAACCCTTCCGGCAAATCATCCGGAAAAATCCCTGGGTACCGTTTCAGTAGTTCCTATAGTTCGGGCGGTACGGCTGCCAGCAGTTTCTGAAAATCGCTCGGCTGCTCTGCTTCTACTAATGCGATATCCACTGCGTACACGCCAGCTCCAGCGGCGACAGCCTATTTCATCGTGATGGCGTTGACGTGGACCGTCGAAGACTCGGGTGACCCCCAACGAGGTAGTTCGACCCAGGTACCACTACTTCGCACAGTGCAGCAGCCCGTCGTCCAGTCAATTCGCGGGTTGTAGCGTCGCAGCCAATCACGTCCCAGTAAAATGTCGTGCCCATCCAGTGTCGTCGCGAGCATTTCCTGTGTAAACCCGAAGTTACCCCCGCAATGACCTTTCACCCTCTCCACTTTCTCCTGTATGGCCAGTGGCGTGCCGTCAACTAATCGTGCGTCAATCTCCGGTAAACAGCGGCTAAGCGTCAGTTGCAGCTTCCGTGCAGTTGCGGTATTAACTAAGCTGTGGCTTGCTCCTCCGTCTATAAAAATCTTCACTGCTGTCCCCTGTATTTTCCCGTAAATCAGTATTGGGCAATCCGTCGATGTACCCTCGGTGCATCGGTACTGTGACTCGGTGAGGGTCACAGTATTCATCCGAGCCCGATCGATGGCGTGAATCGGTACTGTGACTCGGTGAGGGTCGATGAGGTTGGGCGAGCAGGTTGTCTCGTCAGTAGTTGGCCCGTTTTCTACTAACTGCTAGCGTTTCCCTGCCTTTGAGACTCCCTCCCCTGCTCTGCTCCGCGGCGTCTCAGCTCCTCTGGGCATTCGCTCTTGCGATGGCCCGGCCTATTGCAAGCAAAGCAACGCCCCTTAAATGGCGCAGCAGCTGCATTCGCCTCAACGGCGTGTACGATGGCGTGCTCGGTCGGCCCCCGAGGGCGATGTCCGTAACAGGACCCCGGTCTCGGACGGCGCAAAATGTCGATTTTCTCGGCGAGCGCGAGGATTTCGTTGAAGTTCGATAGCCCGCGTAGCATGATTTCGTGCGAGATGTCCGGCTTTAGCCCTCCGACAGAACGGTCCAACCGCTCCGCCTCGTGCATGGAGCCGACTTGTTCGCATAATGCGAGAAAACCGCTCGTATAATCTTGGACCGACCCAAGTTGTCGCCAAGTACGCAGCCTGTGACGCGCCGACATAGAAGCCTCGATCGGCTCGAAGCGCGCCCGAAGCCCTGCGCACCACGCATCCCACGTGCTGTACTGGGTGGTTTCGCATAACGAACTCCAGGTGACGGCTGGACCAGTGGGCCCTTCCTTTTGCAACGGCGGCTCGTAGGCGCGTGGCGACGTCACGATGACTCGCCACCAGTCCATGGCGGGGCCCCGTAGCAGCGAAACCGTATCGTATGTTCACTTCGTCCGACTCGACGTAATTCGCGTCGAAGAAAACGTTCATCGTGAAGACCCACGATTGAACCGTCGGACCTCCACGTTGGCTGGGATCGAAGCAGGGCGGGCGCTGCGGTTTGAGCGGCATCGGTGCGATGATGTCGTTGTTGCCGATCGTCGTCGCAAACTCGACGTGACGACGAGCTTCGCGAGGCCCGCTCGTGCTTGGTGCGGCCCTGTTCCTCTCCATGCCGTGCATTGATTGGGCGGCGCCATCACTGGCTGCGCCTGAGCGCTGTCCCACACTGTCGTGATGCGGCGGTGTGCTGGATGAGATGACCCAATCGGCTCATCCGATTGCGCATGTGCATTTGCAGGTGCTTGTGTTGGTGCTGGCTCATTCACCGTTGATTGCTGGCGGCCAGAGTCACGCTCGGCCGTGAGAGTTGCGATTTTGAGCGCCGCATCTTCGGATTGGCGCACGAGACGGTCGAGTTGTTCCTGCGTCAACGTCGCAAGGTTGAATTCGGCCATGGCGGGGGTGTCGGGCAAGCTCAGCGAGAGCCTCAGTCGTGGCCGTGCGTGCTTTCGAGAGAGCACTTCGAGCGGCGGTGCCTGAACGCTGAAAGACGTCTACCCCCCCCCCCCCCAATTGAGATAGTGGGGAAACGAAGGTGTGGGTGCGGTCCGAGAAGAGATCGCTGGCTCTGATACCAAGTGTTACGAGTGCAATTGAGAGAGCGAGCGAGAATTGCACTATCGAAGCAAACAGTACATCGAGCGAAGGCATGAGCGAAGAATAGCTAGAGGGGTAACGGTAATGTGGTGAAATTGGGGTGCGCTACGGGCCTAGCGCAGAGGCTGGGAATTGTCGAGGCGGAGGTCCGGAGCGCGGGTTACCAACCGAACCGTGAGATTGGGTCGCGTCGTGAACAGTGGCGGGAACATTGGTCGAGGCGAGTGTCGCGAGTGGTAACGGTGCACTGTTGAGAGTTGTTGGCGGGAAGAGTGGTGTACGCGCTGAGCAGGGACGCGAAGTAAGGAAAAGGAATTTCCCTTACAGACGTATGGTAGGATATGCTCTGACAGGACTTTAATTGCTGAATCATAAATCCTTTTGAAAACAGGCATGTCTTTTTTTCTTCTTCTTCTTCTTTCCCCTTCGCAGTGTACCAGTTTACTATCTTGTCCACTGTCATGTGCTAGACGTGCCTCTTCGGGCATGCGTGCATACCAGGCCCCACAAAGTCAGAGAAATTTCACTGATTTGCATGAATAACTCTGTTATTTCAGATTTTTTTTTATTGTCTCCTCTGAAAGTTCAGTTTTTTTTTGGGCCTTGACTCTGATGAATCATATTTTTTTTCAAGGCTAAGTCTGAAGTTTCAGAGTTTTTTCGGGAGTGTACTATGATTCTTCATAGTACAAACGTGTACCGACACTGATTCAGTGTACCTAGGCGCCGACAACCGGGATTAGCGGTAGTACCTGACTGTTGTCAATGACGCGATACTTGGGCCAACACAACAGTCAAGTTTTGTGGGCGACACCGCCCTGCGGACCGAATTATCCCTCATAAGCATCAGCGCACACCCTGTCAGGGCACTGATTGGTCCTTTTGGCAGATTTTGCTTGCCATCACGGACTCCTCCTGTGCCCACGATGCAACTCTGGGCACCCATGAACCAATGCTGACAGCACTGCATGGCAGACGCGCCTCGTCGTTGCCGTCCATGCTAGGCAACCACCCACCCAACTCAAGGATGGCTCGTTGTCGGTTATAGGGCCATCGTCTTTGAGCTAGGGTTTCATCCACACCCCAAGCTTCAACTCACTGGCCCCAGCCATTGCCAAGTTCTCCTTCGTATGCACCTCCCTAGTTCTTGCTCAGCAGCCTCTCAGAACCCCGCCATGGCAATGCTAGACAATCCCGCCACCAGCGATGACGACCCTGCTTCTTAGCCTGCCTTAACAGGCCTAGATTTCTTGCTTAACTCTTTAGAACTCGATAAGGCAGCACGCGCCATGCCCGATACGATCCCCATCCAGAAGGAACCCGCAGCACCCATTATCTCCATCTCTCACAACGCTGTGGAAGAGACAGCTGCGGAACCTACTGACGCTTCGGCCTCGCACCATCCTACTCAGACCACGGTGCGCACCATCCGGCTCAAGCAGGCGACATTGAGCTCCGGGAAGGCCTCATCGTCGTATGACGATGTCAACAACGTTCTCAGGTCCTCTGAACGGCCGCGTCCTCGCCTCAACATCAACCTGGCGGAGCTCATTGAAAGTGTCTACGACGATGCGATTGACAGGTTCAAGAGTCATTGGGCTTCACGCTTTCCCTGGCTTCAGATCACTAAAAACTCCTCGGGGTTGCCTGCGTTCAAGTATACTGTTTGTGCAGCTCATGCTGCGATGCAGGCAAGTGCGGGAGGCGCGGGAAAGGCGCCACCGACTTGCAAACACAATCGTTTCGCAAGCACGCTGGCACGGCGAATCACAAGCTTGCGATGGCGAAATTGCGGGCGAGGCAGCCGCTGATCGACCAACATCGTGCCACGGTTGACGGTGAGATACGCGTCGTCGCCCTTCTCGACTCGCTGCTGTTCGTCAGCAAGTCCGACGCGCCCATGGGGATGTGGGTGAAACAAGTGCGGTACCTGGCGGAGAAGGGCCTGAAGGGCTTCCCGAAGAAGGGGTACGGCACCTACTACACCACGTGGGTGCAACTGCCATAAGCTTTTTCATAAACATCGGTGTTTCAGTAATTTACACGTACATATTTACTGACTATTGTTTCCCTATGCAGAAACGGCCTCGGCGAGTTGACGCAAGCGACTGCGACATGGCTCCAAACAACCCAGCTGGAACACGTGCTGGCGTCGCCGTTCATCGGCATCTCGATTGACGAGAGCACGGATAGGTGCAGGGGCAAGCACCTGATCCTCTTCATCACCTTCATCCGTGACAACAAGCTCGTCACGGAGTTCATGGCTTTACTCACCGTGGAGAAGGCGGACTCAGTTTCTCTTCTGAGCATTTTCCTGACACACCTACAGGCAGTCGGCGTAGACCTTCAGCGCATAGCAGGCATCAGCAGCGATGGTGCCAACATGATGATGGGCAGCATGTCGGGCCTCACTACACGCCTCCGCCTGCACATCCCCCATTTGGTGTCGTCACACTGCATCGCGCACAGGTATGTTATAATTTGAGCATAAAGCATTGAGCTGTTTTCTTGGTTCCTGAAGTGCCCGACTATTTACTTGTTTGCGTCTTGTTGTACAGGGAGGCACTAGCAGCTAAAACAGCCACGGAGAAGGTTCCCACCTTCAACGTGATTGACACAGTGATTCGTACCATGTCAGAGCATCTCGGTCGGTTGGGGCCTTGGCACCAGCGCTTTATGGGCCTCTAGGAAGTTCTCACTTCCACAAGCCTTGAGCTGCAAGGCATTCATGCCGTCCATTAGCTTTGATGCAGTGCTCAGGCTTGTCGTCGTGCTTCCAGCGCTGATCGTGATGCTGAAGGAGTGGGATGCGAAGTTGTATGCGCCCGTGACAAGCTACAGGTTGCTCCAGCACAAGGAGGTGAGCTTGAGCAGCTGAACATCCTCAACAGAGAGTTCCAGCACAAGGAGGTGAGCTTGTTTGTGATGGTTTTCTATCATTGATGTATTGAAGTATTGGTCCTTCTGCCAGCTCCCTGCAAGCTACCCTTCTGCAGTCACTAACTACTTCTATTTTCCCTGTCCAGCTTGACTATGCCTGCGTGCATGCGCAGATCAAGCGCACAACGTCCCACATCGAGAGCCGCTACGTCGATTGTGGCGACGACTTCGGTGGCGGAGTCAGCGACCTGCTGTCCCCCTTCATCGCGCGCCATGGGCCAGGAGGAAACCGGGAGGTAACCGTCGAGGGCGTTGACTCGGACGGCCGGCCTGCACGCTTCACTTTTAGGCTGCATGAGGACGACCTGGAGGAGTTCGATGGGCATGGGACCCACGATGGTTGCGTGGACGTCTGCACGGAGTTCTCTGAGCAGATCGTCCACAACCTGCTGCATCGGCTTGGCGACCTGGAGGGGATGTCTGGGGCAAAGCTCTTCACCCCCGATGAGTACCCCCTAGAACGAGGAGAGAGGAACCGCAGGTGCCTCGAGTGGCTAGAGTCGCTTGTCACTCTGTTCAAGGCCGACCTGACGGAGGAGATCTTGCCAGGTAAGCCCAATTTCCCGAGCCTTGTGTGTATGGTTTCTATATGGTGCTTGATTATTGATCGGTGAGCTTGTTTGTGATGCGGCGCTTCAATGTACGTTCCCTCATTCCTTTCCTTTGTTATAAGTTTCCCTAAACCCCGTCAGGAGTCAACAAGCGCCGTGCGGTGAAGGAGCTGCGCATGTTCACCTCGGTGCTTGCAGCATCCAACACGAACGAGCGCAGCTTCCACGCGGGGCTCACTGCCATGCTCAAGACACCCGACTGGCGTGACAACTACCCCAACCTGGTGCTTTTATGGGTGGCGGTAGCTGTTCTGCCGCTGAGCACCGTGGAGTGCGAGCGGGGGTTCTCCAGGCAGAACATCAAGTCGTGGCAGAGGGGCTCAATGAAGGATGCACGCCTTGGAGACCTCATGTGCATGAGTCTCATGGATTACGAGCCCAACTGGGAGGAGATCGTAACCATATGGAGGAGCTATAAGAAGCGCAAGCCCCACAGCAATGCTCCACTCCCGCCTGCGGCAAAACAACAGAGCAAGAGGGGCAAGGAGCTTGCAGATGAAGAGATGGAAGTAGAAGTAGTAGACATAGGAGATGAGAATGATGCATCTGACACTGATAGTGATGATGATGGATTTGATGAGTAGGATATCTTAGATAGGATAGTTAGGTAGTACAGATAGTTATTATGCCTGTGAATGTTAAGCAGTAGTATAGTAGTATGTATGTGTAGGCAAGTCTGTTGTAGATGTCGTTCAAACAATGCCAACAGAGCTCACACCTCTAAAATCACAATCAGACTAAAAATTGGTGCTGACTCTGATTGTTCAGACTTATTTTTGTTAACACTAAGAAATTTCAGTTTTTTTTTTGTACCGACTCTGATTGATCAGACTAAAACGGTGTACTAAGTCTGACGAATCAGACAGGCCAAAAACGAATCTGAGGGCCTGGTGCATACCTTCTCGATGCTCGATGCATGGATGGGTGGCTGGCTGGCAGCTCCTTGCTCAGTGTAATGAACACCAGCATACAGTGCCTCTCGAGGAGCCTGCCTTCAGCTGGTTCTGCATGTGTTTATCTTCATGCATTTTCAAACAGACTTGCATTACAAAGAAGAAAAATAACTTTGTTTCTTGGGGCTACTTGTTTCTCAACAGCCAACTGCCCTACTTGTTCTGCTGGGCCTGCATCTGCTCGGGAGTCCATGCCTTCTTGATGCTCAGTGCATGGATGTGCGGCATCTCGTCGCTAAGAGCACTGTTCACCATGCGATGCCGCTCCAGCAACCTCTTGCCCTCAAAAAGTGGCGACACCACCGCCACGTCAAACGCCGTGCCACAGTGGCCTGCTGACGTGTCAATCACCACCTGGCAGGAATGTGTAGAGGCCGAGGCGGGGGGGCGGGGCGGAGGGGAGAGGGGGGACGAGGGGAGAGTAGGGGGGGGTTGAAGAGGGGGGGAGGGGGGGAGAGCGGAGAGGGGGGATCGGCATAGGGAGCTGATGTGTGCCTATGGAGGGTCGCGTATGGATGTGGGGGAGGCAAAACAACAAGAGGGTGGCAGATGGGTGCATGCAGGGATGTGCGAAGTTTGGTGCCATACACAGACAGGAGGAGGTGGCCCTTTTGGTAACATTTCTGCCTGTCTCCCACTTACACAATTTTAGCGCTCTCGCACTTTCTCCCTGCCAAGGTATGGGCTGGACAGCATTGTGCAGGCAGGGCCACACGGACCTGATGCTCCTGCAGCCGCTGCTTCTGCTCCTTGTCACCTTCACCCCCACTCTCCCCTTCAACCTCCCCTTCTCTCTCTCCCTCCCCCCTTTCCCACGCGGGTTCGGGCTGGACAGCAGGGTGCTATTGAGGACGTGACTCTCTCCCTCAAGAGTGGACGTGACTCCGGGGAGAAGGAGTGGAGTGTTTTACACCATATCATCACCCTCCCACCACAACACACCACAGCACCACCAAACCACACCACACTACCGCTCCCCAAAAGCCAGAATCGCCTCCCACCCTCCTCCCGCACGCCGCCAATGCCTGCGCCCCTGCGCCCCTCTATCACTCCGCCCCACAGAACTGGCACCGCTCAATGACACTTGCACTACTCCCCCCTTCCACTATTACCCTACCCCCACCTCTCACCCATTCATCGCCCTACCAACCCCTCCCACCCTGGGTCAACCCCAATCATACTAACACCCAACCCAACCATCACATCAACACACCATCTCCGTGTTTCACCACCCAAGCGTCTCACCACCAAACACCACTCCACCTCTCACCACTGCACACCACCCCCAGCGTCTCACCAGCTCCTGCGGCTGCAGCGCGGCTCTGAGCCTCGCCTCCACGCGCCCCTGCATGTCGTCCATCGCCGCGCCTCCCTCCTCTCCTCTCCGCTCCTGGCCCTCGCCTCCCCGCGCGCACGCCTTGCCGCCCTCTTCCTCTCCGCACGCACTCTAAAAGGGCAGGGGGCGTGCGCCGGGACTCGCTGACGGACACTCCGCTCCGCCGGGGCCTTGCTGTCGGCGCGCCTCAATGCCCTCGGCGGGGCCTCAACGCGCAAGACCGAGTGCAGCTGTTTCCACGCGCTGCTGCCACGTGGAAGGCACGCACGTAGGTTGGGTTAGGGTTGAAATTGGCGCAGTGGAGACGGCGAGGAGGAATTGCTGCTGTGGTCTCCGTCGCTCTGACGTGGGGCGACGGGAGAGACGAAACAATGAAGAAGGGAAGATGAGAGGAGAGAGAAGGAAGCAGGAGATAGTGCGGAGATAGTGCGGAGATGGACGCTGAGCCGACAGAGGGGTGGGAGAGGATGAGCGGAGCGCTTATACAGAATGAACCAAGTCGACGGCTAAAGAACAAAAAGAGACCGACGAGACATGAAGACACCACCGTGAGCAATGGTCCATCCCCAAGTGGGATGCTCGATGAAGCCGTTTGCTTCAGGGGTGGACTAAAGGGACGTACCAAGACTCGTGCGTGTTATATCCGTCACCACGTATGACTGCTGGAACCCTTCAGAAATTACCTCAGACTACCTCAGAATAACTCAGATTACCTCAGGAACAGATTATAGGCTGGAGCTTGATTGGCTAACTTTCTTGACAAAAGGCAGTCTCTTCTCTAGGCTGGAATTCGGCCAGCTTTCTTGACGAGTTGTTGCCACGCGCGCTGTAGGGGGAGCTTCTCTGTACTTTTCGTTTCATTCCTTACAAAGTTTGAGGTTTCTAAAGAATGTGATATATTGGTTAATATTACAAAACAAGATAACAGTAATTCTTATCAAGCTGTACGTCCATGAAAGAAGTAATGGCATCAGTTTTGAAGGTGCGTCCAGCAAATCCTACCCAGTAAGCTTCATCTATTCAGGTGCAAGATCTACGTTGAGAGATAAATTCCATTATTTGCATGGACCGCTTTGTTGCCTAGTTGTATGCTTCCAAGCTTGAATTTCAGGAATTCCTACTGTTCGCAGCAATATGGAATAATAATGTATGAATTGCTGCAAGAATTCAAACCTTCACTTCATTCGAGAACCATGCCACGTACGACTTCATGAGGACGTGTCGAATGTGGAATAGCTGAAGATACAGTAGAGTGTGTCTAGTCAGCAGTCCAGGCTCTCTATTCTTACTTGGATCACAGAAGCTGGCCTATTTTTGTTGCCAGATTCCTGAGCATCCATTTGTTTCCTGCTTCGAGCTACTTGCTGCTGTTCCACGATCGTAGCTCCCGGCATCTCCCTCGGCCAAGTACTGGATACGGCTCGTCTCTATAAAACTCTACTCGTTCCGATCACGGGGTTTCGTACCGCCAGGCTTTTTAAGTGAGTTTGCCCAATCCCACCCTCTTGCTCCCACTTTCTCGTTTTCTATCCTCGATCCTTCAATAATATAACCCTTTATTCCTTCTCACCAACACTCATCCAGTCTGGGTATTCGTGCCTTAGGGTGCATTTGGTCGTCGGTATCCTCAAGGTCAAGTCGACTTTTCGTTCGTCTCAAAAGTCTTGTCGCCTTCCGATACTCCTATATATAAATTGTTGTTTTACCCCACTCTTCACCCCTCTTATAAGGTGCTGCATTTCCCCCGCTCGACTACCTTACTCCGATGTAGGCTCCCTCGTCTTCTCGCCGTCGATCTCATCATCTCCTCACCCTACATCCTCCTTTTCCCGATCCATGTAGCTTTGAACCTAAGTGAATATTAATCCGATTTAAAGGTCACCTGTGTCTAACGTCACTCGCCGTACATATTCCGTGTCTACCTCTCCCTTCGCAGGTCGCAGATCGCGTTCTTCAAGGGCTGCCGACAACGGTCACATTGCGAAGCGCTTAGACGGTTTCACTGATCGCCGAGTCGGGTCGCGATGATGGCAAGTGCGACGATCCAGTCAACCGCCAAATGCGCCGCCACGCAGGTAGGCGTGACTGGGGTAGGCGTGGCCTGGGTAGGCGTGGCTTGGGTAGGCGTGGCTTGGGTAGGCGTGGCTTTGGTAGGCGTGGCTTGGGTAGGCGTGACTAAGGGATCACCGAGTTGGGTCGCGATGATGGCGAGTGCGATGGTCCAGTCAACCGCCAAATGCGCCACCACACAGGTAGGCGTGGCATGGGTAGGCGTGATGGACAATCTCTTACCGCTGTGTCTTGTGGCGCCTGAAGCGATTGGCACACTCACGTACTGATAACAAATCTCCAGACAATTGGATACGAGGTTTCACGGGGATATCGTCGCCTTGAGAAATTAGGAAAGTGAGATCGGTCTCGGACAAATCCCGATACGTGTCTATACGATGGGAGCTTGATAAAGAAGCAAATCGACTGAAACCCGATGCGATGGGTGTCGCGCCCTCACACACGGTTCCACACGTGGTGTCGTTGCTTCCCCACACGCCCTCCTAGCCTCCCTCCCCTTGCGCCTCCTCCTAGTTCTTAATAACCTCCTTATTAGAGGATTTATCCTTCGATTCCGCTGTCACTTATGCTTTGAAGACCTCTTGTGTGACTCTTCTCTCCCACGCCCTCCTAGAACGTCGTTAACAATCTTCCATTTCGCCCCTCTCGTTGTTTCGCTCTTCCCCTCCGCCCTTTTCGTTCTCCCGCTCAGGCGGCGCTGCTTGCGGGCGAGCCCGTTCTCAAAGGCGCCACGTCAGCACCGGCGTCTCTCTCGCCCGCCACGTGGCTGCCGCTAGGACGGTCTGGGCCCACTCCTGGAGCGCCACGTGTCGTCAGGACAGCCGGGTTTAGACCAGGAGCGGCGGTGGCGGCAGCAGCGGGAGGAAGGGGCGCGAGCAGGGGGGGGGACAGAGGTGAGACGAGGGAGGGGTGGGAGAGGGGGTCGATTGGGAGAGTTGAAGGGAAAGGGTGGGGAGAGAAGTGGGGAGAGGGTGGGGAAAGGTTTGGCGGGGTGAGATGCACAGCGGTGCGCTGTGGTTGAGGGAAGTTTCAGTGCGACAAGCATAGGTATGGTGAGAGGCCGTGGCGGAGGGGAGGGGAATGGGCGGAGGCGAGAATGAGGAAACAAATCAAGGGTTTATCAAGAGTTTATGGGGGAAAGCGCTTCAGATGAATGGCGAGGTTTATCAAGGGTTTTACGGTGCATTTTGAGGTTTCTTGTGGTTCTTGAGTGAAAAGATGCAGGATTTGTTAGCATGCAATGTATGGAAAACTCAGCACAGCATGGCATGGGTATCGCATGGCATGGGTGTGGCATGGGTTTACGGCATGGGTGTGGCATGGGTATATTCCATGGGTGTGGCATGGGTGTGGCATGGGTGTGGCATGGGTGTGGCATGGGTGTGGCATGGGTATATGGCATGGGTGTGGCATGGGGTATATGACAGGGGTATAAGATGGGTATGACAAGGGTATGACAAGGGTATGGCGGGGCTATGCATATGTCATGGGCATGTTCCCGACCCCTGCATGCTCCTGCTCATTCTCTTCCCCCATTCTCTTCCCCCTCCCACTCCCCATTACCATCTCTTCTTTCCAATCTCCCCTCCCATCTCCTGCACCCCTTCCCCCCCCTCCCCTCCCCACCTTTCGCCCGTGCCCCTGTCGTCCCACACCCCCCTGCCTGCCACAGTGTCGTCATCTGCCGCTCAGCAGCAGGTGCTGCTGGCGTCAGTATCCCAGTCCACATCCACGCCCTTCCTCCCTTCTCTTCCTCCCTCTCCTCCCCCTGCTGCTATTGCAGTGTCGTCCGCTGCCGCCCAGCAGGTGCTGCTGGCGTCAGTGTCGCAGTCCACGTCAGCACCACCTCCCGTGCGCGCATCACAGGCGTCGTCATACCCGTAGGTGGCACGAGGGATAGGGAGAGGGAGAAAGTGAATCTATTCAAAGGACCTTTTGAGGAAGGGAGAGAGATGCAAGAAGCTTGAGAGGGACGTGGAGGATCTACGAGAGATGCAGAGAGGTTAGAGAGGAACGTGGAGGATCTACGAGAGATGCAGAGAGGTTAGAGAGGAACGCGGAGGATCTACGAGAGATGCAGATTAGAGAGGGACGTGGAGGAGAAGCAGAGTTTAGGTTTTCTGACAGGTGCTGCTGGCACCAGATTCCAGTCTACGTCAGCACCAGCACCCGTGCGAGCGAAGACCCTAGCCGTCCTCATACCCGTAGGTACGACTCACGAGGGAGAGGGAAGTGGAGAGATGCGGCGAGATGCGGCAAGATGCAGAGAGACGTGGAGAGATGCAGATAGATGCGGCGAGATGCAGAGAGACGTGTATTGTATAGATGCAGAGAAAGATCTATGCAGAGAGATGGCAATGACGACCTTTAGGCAGATCCATCCATGCATACTCATGAACATGCAGATGTACAGTCACGCGCACGCATTAGTCTCCCCATTCCCCGGTGGTCAACCCCATTTCCAGCACGCAGAGGGAAATGGGGAAATAGTCAACCCCATTAGTCAACCTCTCTCATGCGAGTGAGTGCGGGCGCTGCCCTTCCCCTCGTTTCAGGGGCTTCACACCATTCCTCTGCACCCCGCCCCGCTCTTCGCCCCCCACTCTCCCCACCCCTCCCAATCCTCCCTCTCCTGCCTCCTCCCCCCCTCGGCCATGCAGGGGCACGCCTCTCATGTGGGTGGGCGTGGGCGTGGCTCTCTCACTCTTCGCCTCCTGGGTGAGACCTCCCTCAATCAACACATCCTGCTCCCAGCTGAAGCTTCTTGTTTGAGAATCCCCAAAAGAGATAGTGCTTCCAGCTGAAAACAAATATCTGTGGTTGCCCCCTCATGTGTGGCTCTAATATTTCCATCTTTTGCCGTCTTTGCTCCTTGTGCTGTCTTCGTTTCGTGCAGCTTCTTGCTTTCCTCGCCAGCCCACCATATTCCCTCTCCTCTACTTTCAACCTTCTTTCCTTCTCCCTTCTCCGTCTCGCCCCCCCTCTCACGTGCAACGCCACTGGCGGTCTCCCCTTCTCTGCAGGGCTCCAAGTTCGTCATGCAGCGCATGCAGGTGAGCAGCGGTGCAAACAGGTGAGCCGCGGTGCAAACAGGTGAGCAGCGGTGCAACAAACAGGTGAGCAGCGGTGCAAACAGGTGAGCAGCAGTGCAAACAGGTGAGCAGCGGTGCATTCAGGTGAGCAGCGGTGCATTCAGGTGAGATGCGGTGCATGCATGTGAGATGCAGTTAAAGTCAAGCAGGCTGTTTGTCCAGGTTTTGCTCAGCTAACCTCCCAGGCTGAATGACTATTGTTGGGCGTCTCATCGCAACACACTCCTATTCTGCATGTTCCCTCCCGTTCTCTCCTCTTTCCCTTCCCACCCCCACTCAACAAGCCATGATGGAGCAGATGCTCAACGCCATGCAATCCGGAGGCAAAGAAGTGGGAGAGAAGGAGCAACGTTATCTCATGCTCCATACTCCCTTTCTTCCCTATTCCTCGCGCTTTCCCCCCATCTCTCTCTCCTCCTCACCAGCAAGCCATGATGAAGCAGATGATGAACGCCATGCAAGGAGGCGGCGGCCCAGGCGGCGCAGCCAATCCGTTTGCGGCAGCTGGCATGGGCGGCGGCGCCAACCCATTTGCGGCCATGGGAGGCAGCGACAACCCGTTTGCAGCCATGGGCGGTGGAGGAGCAGCAAACCCCTTTGGTGGCATGCCCTTCCCACCACCACCACCACCAGCATCATCGCCCTCGTCCTCCCCCTCTTCCTCCAAGCCCAAGTCCTCCTCCACAGCCGCCAAGGCGT